AAAAAAAAAAAAAAAAGAAATGGCATTGGAGAACACATCATAAATAAAAACAGAAAAGAAAAGCTTTGACTCAATCTCACATCATACAAAAAAGTTACAATGCTCATAGAATCATTAAAAGTGTAAAACTCCAAGAACATGCAGAGGAAATTTTAGCATTAGGCAGAGATTTCATGAGCTATAAAGAAAACCTTGATAAACTTGGACATCTTTCCTGAGCTCACAGGTTTGAGACCAACCTGAGCCAGAGCAAGACCTCATCTCTAAAAATAGCTGAACATTGTAGTGGGTGCCTTTAGTCCCAGCTACTTGGGAAGCTGAGGAAAGAGAATCACTTGAGCCCAAGAGTTTGGCTTGCTGTGAGCTATGACATCATGGTACACTACCGAGGGCACAAAGTGAGACTCTGTCTCAAAAAGAAAAAAACCCAACAAACAAACAAAAACCTTGGATATCATCAAAATTAAAACTGCTCTTCAGATTATACTGTTAAGATAAATAAACAGGCAAGCTATAGATTGAAAAGAGCACAGGCGGCTGAGGCAAGAGAATTGCTTGAGCCCAAGAACTGAAGGTTGCTGTGAGCTATGATGCCATGGCACTCTACTGAGGGCAGCAAAGTGGGACTGTCTCAAAAAAAAAAAAAAAAAGAAGTTATAGACCAGTCTCATATGTATATGTGATCACATATCACAGTCACATATATAATTATATATGATTTTATATATAAAGTGATTGTAGGAGTTCTTTATGTATATGAATCATAAATCTCAAATGAATCATAAGTCATATAAAGAACTCTTACAATCTAAAAATAATAAAATAAACCAATTAAGATTGGGCAAAAGAGTTTGAACATTAATTTTACAAGAAAAGTTGTACATATCATACATATATATGTATATGATTATGGACATACATAATTCAGAATAACCAAGACAGGTATGTGTGTATGTTTTTCATATACATTATAATACAGAATAACCAAGGGAAGGAGGTATATGTGTATGTGAGAGATACATGATATAGGTGGTGTATACATTATAAAATATAATATGATTATACATAATTATATTTAGAGAGAGAAACGAGTGCTGGATTCAGTTTGCTAATATTGTTAATGATTTTTGAGTTTATAGTAAAGTTTTGCCAGAGTTTGTTTATTAACCTTATTTATCTTTTTGGACGAATGTTAATTTCATTCACCTTTTTCTTGTTTTTGTTTTCCATTTCATTGTCTTCGATTGGTCTTTTTTAAGGGGAGTGGGGAGATGGTATCTTGCATCTGTCTATGTTGCCTAGGCTAGTCTTGAACTGCTGGGCTCATGCAGTCCTCCTGCCTCAGCTTCTTGGTAGCTAGGGTGACAGATGCAAGCCACTGTGCCAAGCTTAATTATTTTA